GCGAGGCTGTTGATCGGTTTGAATCTCGAAAAGCATCTGAGATGTATTGGGAAGATGTGTATGACACTGATCGAGAATCACTGCGAAATCAGTATATAGGATCGCTTGAATTACCAAATGGTCGATGTGTAGTTTATCCCAATCGATACCAACACAAGGAACAATCATTTGAACTTGCAGATCCAACTCAACCAGGACACTGCAAGATTCTGACATTTTTTGTAGTGAATCCATCTTGTCGGATTGTTTCGACTGCGCATGTGGCTCCACAACAACCACAATGGTACAACTCGAGTCTTGACAAGGCACACCTACCGCCTGAACTGTGGAATGATATCACGCAGTATATTCAAGGTGTTCAATCACCAGATGAAGCCAAACACCATCGAGATGAATTGACAAGTGACCGAACTCAAATCACAGCGGTATACAACAAGGACATATATGAGCGGGTGTATAATCTTGATAATTGATGATGGATTGTGAGGTTGTGATTTTACAACAATGATTTGCAATGCCAGTCAGATCTATGCAATTAAATGGATCGAATAAATTGAATGAATTGAATCAATCATGTCAATCATGACAGTGATTGTTGATTATATTGACTGATTGTGTACAATTGATTGATACAAGTGATATGGATGCATCATTCGGTGTTGTTGAATCAGATCATTGCTTGATTCTGTCAATGGGATCAAATGAATTACTACAAAACTGTACATGCTCAAGTTGAATCAAGTATTGAATCGAGTATTGGATTGATATTTACACACAACCACAACCACAACCACAATTACAACCACAATTGCAATCAGCACAGTCTGAATATTAGACATTTGAACATCACATATCGAGTCGTGGATAAATGCGAGTTGTCATATTGGACTGTTTTTGTAGTTTATTAATGATTTGATTCACGACTGTTTGAATTCAAGGCTCAATATGGATTACAACTGGATTGTCGTTGTTTCCATTTGGAATGACAAATCTGTCAATGTGTTGATTGATTACTAGTTCATTGTCCAAATAATAATCAATTCCACCAGCAATAGTGTCCGTCACATTCGAGTTGTTGGGAAATACTTTTGATAGTTTTGGTTAGATTGAACAGTCTGGTTTAGTCAAGTAAACCAATATCTCCATAAACATGTGCTGTAAAGTTGTTTCATTTGGAAAACCGCATGACGAAACAGATTCCAATACATTGGTCGATATTGATGAGACAACATTGCGTATGAGTTCTTGAAGAGACAAATGTTGTGATGGGAAGCAGTTTGTGAATGTCCATTTGAATAGTATTTTTTGACCAACAGCAAAGTAAAAGCAAGTTCAAGGTCGAACGACTTCATCAATATTCCAGCCTTTTGAGTGATGAATAAGATTCCATATTTTGCTGGGTTTCCAAGTTGTCCAATCGATGATTGTTGTCGGACATTTCTTGAGTAACAGTTTAAAACCATTTCTAATCAGATCTGAATGGTCGCTTCCAAAACAACGAGTCATATCCAACATGGAATTGTTTGATAGACAGTATTGTAGTAGATCTGCTCGAGTGGGTTCAATGTTGTTTAGACATTGTGTTTTTAGATCATCAATCGACACACACAGCGCACCAACAAGACCATCACATTCCGTTACAAGAACATGTTTCAAGGTCTCATTGTTCATGTTGTTTGGCAACCCAATAACGAGTAAATCCAGAAATTCATAGAATTCATGAAATTCACAGAGTTTGGCTGGAATAAGTAGAAAATCACTTTTCAAGACCTGAAAGACTACCGAGTTCAACAGGACTTGAAATTCCTCCAACAAAAAGATGGTTTGATGCAATGATAAATCGCATGCTTAATGGCAACCAACTCAGCGATGCTTTGATTAAAAGTCTCCATAAACTTGTGTCTTGTAATTACTGTTGAGCATCATCAAGAAACAACAGTTTTACTTTTTCCAATTCTATCCGTTGTTGTTTGGAACAATCAATGCATTTCCAACAAAAGTGTCGTGCAATCTTGTCCAAGAAACAAATCCAAATGACATTTGTTTGAGACTATGTTGATACATATTAATGAATATAGGTTTTGCAGAATCAGATGAACAAGTCAATATGACAAACCGATACTCAAACCAAGTATGTGAGTTTGTCAAGTTGATCAGGTTTTTTGAGATGATTTGTAGAAACATTGATACCATTGATCTGGATAGTTTTCTTGAAATAATTGTATGAACCAGTGATTGTTGGGTTTGAGCCAACATCATTCTTGGATTTGATGATGAGTGGACTGGATCCAACAGTTCCGTTTGTTACAAGAGCAGCAAGCGAGTCCCATGCGTTGTGATTGATCTCGACTTGATCCATCACAGAGTGGATATTCAGTTAGTGCATCGACCAAAAGTGATCCTGTTTTGTAATCTGCGACCAAGCCAACAGGTTCTATTGCTGAACAACAGCCTGTTGTTGACTTGGTCGCAACCACCATCATTGAGACAACTAAAAGGCTTGTTGGTATTCCAGTCGACCATCAACTCCTTACTTTCCACTTTGTTGTTGATGGAGTGGAAATAACTTGCAATTCATGGTATTGTCTTGCTGTTCTTGGACTAGATCAAACCACTGGAACTGATCCACTCATCAAATCCAACACATTATGCCTGGTCAAACTCTGTATCATCAACACTAGACACTGTAATGGACATGAACTCACTTTACAAACCACTCTTGTGAACCTTGTCCAGTCGATACACTTGTATGATGAACACAACTGTTGTGTGTCCAACATTCAATCAAAACCATTCATCTGGATCAAACCATCATGAACATCGACATCAAAGACATTGACACAATCCCTAATGTTTTGTATTCAAAAGTCTATTCTGGCAACATACAAATCGGAATAGAAATGCCAGTCGACAGACTGACAACTACACAATATTGTCATGATTGGTGTCAGTGGATGTGAACAACAACCTGCCATGGTTTGTGTCGATATTGTGTATTTGACTGTTTTATCGACCTGATTTCAGTGCAATGATTGACAAGTTGGCACAGTTTGCACCTGCCAAAAAGACGGACAAGAATCAAGCAGTCTTTGAATACCACTCTAAAAGACTGATCCAGTGTTTGATTTCTGCTCGTATATTTATTCTGAAAACACTCCATGAAACAAATCCCGATCTCAAGCCTTTTACATGACTATGCATTCAAACAAGTATACAAACTGGTGTACTCTTTTGTAAAATATTCAAACATCTATCTAAGCTTCCTTGGTCTGCGTTTGGTAACGTCTATCAAGAGTTGAAATCATGGTTCCTAAAAGACAGTCGTGTTATATTTGACGAATCGCAACATATGTTAAGTCTTTTAAAGTCGGACTATCGTTCAACAACAATCCATCAACATTGCTGGACAATTTGATTTTCCTCTGTCGTTGTTTTCGTTTTTGACCAGAACTATTATCCAAGATGGCTTCAACAATATATGGTGCGGAACACAAATGCGAATCTGCATTATGGACTTGATATACTCTGCTGCTGGACTCAAACCAGATAATATATTGATATTCACCGACTTCAACTACTTGAAATCATCTGATATTTTCAAACTACTATCGATGTGTCAAAGAATATTGACCTTCAAGAAATCTCACAGTCTCTTCAAGATCGTCCAAGACTTTTTGTTTCATTTTTACACAAACTGATTGATTCGACTGATATCAATGATTGTTATCGTGGTTATATACAGGAAATGACGTCAAAATATGGCATGTATTTGCCCCATTCATCATTTTACTGTTTCTGGGAGGAGAGAATTGACTGGAGTATCAAACCCATTGAAAATGCCGACTATTGTGTTGCTAAAACTAGATTGGTATTGGAGATACTTGTCCATCCACTTATTGATCCAAATCTCAGATCTGATTGCTTCCCTTGTGTATTTTGTTAAACAGTCATACACACTACTTGTTTGAACGTATTAGTTTGCAGCAACTATTGCAACTATTACAACTGCTACCCATATTATTGTTATCAAGTTTCGAGATCAACTCGTTTTACATTTCCATTTCCATTCATTTCGTGACACCCTACAACACCAATAATGAGTTCAGTGTGGTCCCGTCTCAACATCCTATCGGCTGATTATCCAAAACAGTCTTGCCGTAGTGTGCAAAACACTATTCCCCAACCAACCAATGCTTGTGAAAATGCACCACACCTTGCCGAAGCAAGCATGAATCCAGAAAGGTATGCAGTACAGTATTTGTATTATAGTTGTGCATCTGAATATTGTATTTTGGTTACACAACACATTGCTAACATGACTGTTTACTTACATGTGTATTATTTACGATTTGATGATTGCATTTACGGTATTTTGGGATGGACTCGAAACGTTGCCGAATTTAATTTTGTTGATTCGACTACGCGACTTTGATGGTAATGATTTTGACTGTTTTTGATGCTATCTAATGTCATTGAACGTCATTCAATGTGTATCAATTGTGATTTGTGTTGGTTGGTATGATGTACTGGTTGATTATTATTTGGGATTGAATTGGTTGATGCATAATTTGATTTATGGGACAATGGGTTGAATGCTACTTTAAACTTTTACTGTTGTTTGTGCATAATTTTGTAATGTTGTGATTGACTAGTTCAAATCAGGAAAACATATATACTGATATGTATACATCCACCCCAATCAGCCCAATCAGTCCAATCAATGATCCAAGAATCCTTGCTTCACCAAGTAAGTGTGTGATTTTTGTATCAATTTCTCACGAGTTTTGGATGTGAATGCATGTATTGTGGATTGTTTAGGCTGTAGTGTGTTGATGGTAACTATACTGATTATATTGACTGATGGATTGATTGTTTTAAAATATTTACATTATAGTCTCGTCCCTGATTGAGGCAGCTAGGATACTGCAGTCTGGAAAGCAATGCGACTCTACAGTATCAACCATATATACTGCAGAGTCCATTGCACCAGATTCAGCAGTGGCTAGCCATTCATCAGGATCCGTTGAGCATTATACCGATGCTCAAGCATCTATGCTGTCATACAGCTATGCTAAACGGGTTTTGGCGTGTGACAAACCGCCTTTTGAAACTCGGTATAAAGTAAGTTGGTTGTATTAGTATAAATCTTGGGTTTAGCTTTGAAATTACACAAGCTGTGCTGGATTGATACAACTGTATAGTTATGGTTGACTAATGTTTTATTTATTGGTATGTGTCAACCATTTATATTTGACAGGCTGACCAGATGATGTACACAAGCAGTAAGCTTCCTGGAAAAGCTGATAGATCAAAAGTGTGGCAGCTCATGTCATGACTGAGTGATTGTATCAGTCTCTGTGAGTATGTGCGCGAGTTACAAGTTTCTGGTTCAACAATCGTTGATAACAAAACATCTATTACAGTCAAAAATAAGACCCAATCACGGTACTCAACCAGATCCTGTTCAGTGTTTGCAGTCTCTGCAGTGGTGACTGGACCAAACTCATGATTGCTGAAAACATGGCAAGATCACCGTATCAATCAACCAGTACCGTTTACTCGACCACCCAATGTATCCATGACAAATATGAGGTGTTCTCGATTGATCCAGACAGTGCATCTGCGTCTGATGCAACTCGACTGATATATATAGTTGGATCTGTGTGCATGCGATTGATCAACAGCGATTTGTCAGTGTACACGCAGACCAACAATTTGCGTGGTATCAGTCCAATCCAAACTACTGGCAGGGCAACTCGAGGTAATATGAACTCGATTGGAAACGTTGACTTTTTCACATTGATGGACGAGATGCGACAAACAGTCAAATACCTCACCATGCAAGTTGTATCCTTGAAAACTGATATGGCCGCTGTGACTAGCGCATTTGGTCAGTTGCAGAGCCAAACCAATGACATTGTTGTCATGATGACCAAACACGACAATGTCATTCGATCATTACTGTGACAGATCTTGGTCAAACTGGACTCTGGTTGCTCACCAACACATGCAGTTGTTATACCAGTTGCGGTATTCGAAACCATTTCCACGACTGTAAACACCACCGCAACAGTGACTGTGTTTTGTCCACAAAGTCAATTCAAGTTGTTTATATGCAACAACAGCACGTTGCACACACACGCAGACTGTCGATACGGAATGCCAAGCAACAATCAACTTATTCCGTAGTCGTGCAATTGTTGACATAAATACCATTGCGGTCAATGCTGTATCAACTGGTGTCAAACCTTGAATGAATGCTGCAACTCGCATTTGTTTATTGCGTTTTGCATCGAATGCAATGTGCACACTCAATAAACTTTGTGGTATTCTGGTCACATTCCGTATCAATCTGCAACGGATTACCAACATCCATACAATCAACAACACGATCAGATTATTAGTAGATCAATCTATTGCTGTCAAACTTGTAGTCATGACCCAACTCGGTACAAATCAGGTCAAGTTTGATCCAGAAACTCCAACAAAAACCATCAACCCGACCACTGAACTGGCTGCTCGTTGACGGTTTGCTGGTTATGTGGGTTTATTGTTGATGGGTAAGCGTGTAAACTGTCGTACACGCAATTTATACTGCGAGTTGATGGTCAAGTCTGACAATCTGCATTCGCGAACTTGTGTGCAAGCAGTGTTTTGTTGGATCTCAAACATCCTGCAACTCGCACAGTTGTTTGCACAGTTGCTCGTTTATCAATCCACCTGGATCTGCAACTCTGTCAAGCAAATCCGTAGTCCAACCTGCTGATGTTGATGTGACTACAATAAACACGAAACTCACCGAAATAACACTTGCTGATCTGACAGGTCAATGAGTGACACTCTAACCATTAATACCAAACAAACAACGTTTTGAATCAACAATCAACTGTCATGACAATTGGTAACATTCGTGGTCATTTGGCATCCATCTCAAACCATCACATCAAACACATTTCCAAAATCGATTGCTGGACAACTCAACTCGGTGCACGAGTCCGCATTACTGTGCCAGAATTGTTAAACATTGGTAATGTGAAATATCATAAATAACGAGGTATTTCAGAGACTCATACGCGACGCATATATGTTTGAGGCGATGTCTATCGCAGCCATCACTTGTGCAATAACAAGAGACTTTCTCAGCTATGACGTCTAATTCACGGATACGCATAACCGTTATTTACATCTTTATAAAATGATCAATGTTTTCTTTTATCAATAAACACAATTAACTCATTGGTTCATTCCTTCATTCTCATCTTTTACTTTTGATATTCCTCCAAAACTATACTACATTAATATGTTGTCATACGTCCAAGAACAACAGTATTGTTGTGGTGTAATATTAGCAACTACACACAACTTGACATGAATGACAATGTTGATGTCGAGACTGTCAATGTATTACAATGTATTGGTCAACAGTGGCTGCAATCAATGACAATATTGCAGTCAGTTCAATCCAATTGTTGACTGGAACAATCATTATTCACTTGTCAGATTCAGCATGTAAATGAATGTTTTGTAACACATTTACTAATCCAACAATTGACTGATTAACAATAATTGAATATTAAAATGTTGAATAAAAGACTCGAGTCATTATATGAATGACGTAATCAATTGAGTTGAATTGACACTTTATTAAACAATACAAATAAACACATGACAAATGTTTAAACAATATTCAAAGTGTGTGAATTTGTCTCACATTGTTCACGTGATATTGAGTTTTGAATGTGAGACAAATTCACGTTTTGATCTTTTTTTGTCATTTCATTGTTTCACTTCACTTTATTCTATTCTATTCCTTTCCTTCATAAACTCCAAAATGACCAGGCTTTATGTGAAATACCTTGAAAACACTCCGGTATCATTATTTACTCAAAAGTTGCCTGTCCCTGAAGGAGAAGAGCCTAATATTTCTGACTTGGTCGCTGCTTACAAGGCTGCCACCACTCCCCGTTTTGAAAATATTCCTGTTGACGAGCTCACCATCCATTTTGTGGTGGATGGTCCAGCCATTCCCGGGAATACTCTGTTGACCTCCATTCAGGAACCAGTTGGTTCTTACGACCATTCACTTGTCATCAAATCAAAAAATGATTCTGGTCAAAGTCTTGTTAATCGTCTTACAGTAGACGGTAAAGCACAAAATTCGATGCTGCCATTTAAGCTTTCTTGCAACCCTTTTGCTTATCTAAATGTTCAATATGTCCGGTTTGGTTATTGTAAATACCTTGCCGATACGTTGGGCGTACAATTGAACTTTGATAATCTTCCTCATCGTGATTATGATGTGAACTCTGATTTTTTTCGTCAGATAATGGGAGCGCTTCTTAAAAAGGGGATTAAGCGTGTGGTATTTGATGAATCACAAAGACACCTTGGACTCATTGAATTCATTGTCAAGGAAGGTGCTAAACGACCTCACTTTATAATAACGGGAACTCCTCCTCATGGAAAAAACGCAATTGATTACGGAGGCAGCGCTTCAGCAAGAATGGCAGGAGTCAATTTATCGGATCTAAGACCTCCGGAAGTTAAACAACTGATACGAGCTATACTCCAAATTGACAAAATAAGCTCCATCTGTGTTCTGAACTTTTGGACTGTCTTTGGTGGCGATCCGTATCTTTACCAACTCTTTGCAAAAGACATGCTTGCTCAATTGGATGACGATACCAGATCCAAAATTGCTCTTGGCGAGAAATTTCCACAGGATTTACTACATAAGTGTATCGATGAAGCCAGAACAGCTCTTCGGGAAAGAGGCATCAGTGCTGATTTACTCAACGCGATTCCAACAACTGGTGTCAGCAGGATGGCTATTCAGCAAGATCTTCAAAAAGATGTTTCTCAACTGGTGAGACGAGGACTCTTGAAAGAGATTCCGTATTTCTCAGACTCTAAAAAATTTCGAATTTGTTGGACTGACTACAACGAAGGACCTAACATTGTTGAAAAATCTTGGGCTCGATGCCGGGGGTACGCAATGGAAAATATTATTTGTAGCTTTGTAGGAGAGGCTCTTTTTCGTAAACTTGGAGATATTCTTAACCTCCCGAGTAATCGCTATGAATTATATGAATATTTTTACGATGGAACTGATGCTGATATACTTCTTCGTGAAAGGACACCTTCTTTGGGTGATATTGACAAAACTTGGAAGCGGCATTGGGTTGTTTTTAACATCAAAACCAGCAGTGATGCTCTTTTGAATACTGATTCCGTGCAAAAGTTCTCTGGGTTGTGCGAAGCTATTTCTATGAAGGAAAATGACCTTTTGGATAAGTGTTCATTGATTCTCGTGGCTGCTCAAATAGATGAAGCAACAAAAGAAAAGTTGTTGGTAACCTGGCAAGACTTTGATGTTCTCGGTGTCTACGATTTGGATTATTTATTTAGCAACGTACCTGAACCCGCTGTCAAAACTAAGCATAATTTGCTTGTAGTCGAACGAACGATTGAAAAGGAAATAATTGAAAAGACGCAACACGATACGATTTCTTTGTCTGGTAGATATCGATGCGGCAAGACTACTTTTTTGAAAGAATGTTATGGCGAAGATAATGGTTGTATTTTTGTTGAACTTCCGGAATCCAAGATACAACCGCTTTCCTTGGAATTGAAACGAATTGAATGTAATTAATATACCGAAAGAAATGAGATTCTATCCATATTTCATCTACTTTGATTTTGAAACTTGGTTGAAATCAGTCAAATCTACGACCAACTTGAAGCTCATTCATTGAAACCCACAAACTTTTGAGCACAAGTTTCATTGGAAGTGAAGAAAACAAGGCTCAATTCATCCCAGTTGAAGGTACAACTGAAGAAGCTTTGGATATAGTAATGACAAAAATGGATCAAATACGACACAAATATCTGCAATTGTTGTATTCAAAGTATTCTCGGTTCTTTGGAATAATGGCCAATTTGGACGATGCAAAGGTTCAGAAACGATTAAGATTACAATTACTAGAATGTTTTGATGTTCTTCCTATTTATGGCTTCAGTAGCTCATCATATGACATTAACATCATCAAGAAATACCCTCCACAAGTCTTGAAACACTCTAAAAAACATGGAAATGTATCCAAATGCGAAAAGCTTTGAGATTAATTCAATTGAAGGAGAATTAGATCGTAATATTGAACAATGCGAAAAGATTGAACGATACAATGTTGATGGCTACGATGAAGAATCAAACACAATCTATGACTTTTTGGGATGCTTTTTCCACTGATGTAGAAAGTGTCACAAATCAGAAGATATCAATCCTTTAACTGGAGATACGATGAACATATTGTATGAAAAAACAGCAAACAAGGAATCAGCTCTCAAACAATGGGATATACCACAAGATCAATTTGGGGTTGTGAGTTTCATTCACCTGAAAACGGTCAAGTGAATGACATTATTAAATGTAACAAATACCGAATGATATCAAATGGATCGTTTGCTTTTAAAGACATTCTTGCTTTTCAACCACCAAATACTTTATTTGACAAGTTCTTGAAAATGTTTGACACAATCACAAATGGGAATATTTCCACATAAAGTAACTCGGAATTTATCGAAATACATTGATGAACATCCAGATTTGACACAATATTCTGATATCATTCAAGTTCTTAGAAATTCACATATTCCATCTAAAAAGTGGTTTTACAACAATCTAAAGGGAGAATCAGTTTCATCAAACGATTATAATGAAATGGTATTCACTCACACCAACCTGTATGATTTGCTGAACGACTACAACAATTTGGATGCGAAGCCAGGCGTAGAAGCGACAAAGAAGCTGGGTAATTTCTTTCAGTCGTTGAATCTTGATATCCACAAAAACGGCATCTTTGTTCCTAGACTCACTCTGAAATATCTCTGGCACACAAAAAGCAAAGACTGCAAGTTTCAGTTATTCAAAGGGAATGACGAATTGTACCACAAATACAGAGATAATCTAGTTGGTGGTCCAAGTATCGTATTTCATCATTATCAAGAAAAAGACGACCAGAATTAGAAAAGGAAAGCCTTGTCAGGGAATACTTGGATATGATACCAATGCTTTATATCTGTGGGCGATAAGTCAAGATATGCCGTGTGGTGAGCACCAAGTAGTTCAAGTTTATCCCGATATTCTGAAAGATGTCTTGGATAACACGTTCTTTGGAATGATAGAATGTGATATTGCTGTTCCTGAGCATTTAAAGGAGCACTTTACTGGAATGCCTCTTATTTTCAAGAATGTTGAGATTACATGCAATGATTTAAGCTCTGACACAGGCACATGCCAAACCAGATCACAAAAGTAACAGGTTAGTTGAAAGTATGTTTGGTGAGACGATGATGTTTGCTACTAAACTACTGAAATGGTATCTTGAGCATGGATTGGCTGTTTCAAATATTACTTTTGCTGTAAGATATGAACGTAAAGCACATTTCAAGTCGTTTTTTGAGCAAGTATCAAATGAGTGAAGAGTCCGAGATACAAGTCCTGGTTATAAATTACGTGGAGAAATGATGAAATTGATGGGAAATTCATCTTATGGTAAATGTATAACGAATTTCTTGAAACAGGAAACAGCCAAGATTGTTACTGGAGATAACTACATCAAAAACATCAGAAGGAATAATTACATTGAACATCAAGACATGAACAAAGGATGCGAGTTTCGTTTCAAAAAGATGTCGTTCAAACAAAGTTTACCTATTCACATTAGATTTCAAGTGTATCAATTAGCGAAACTACGAGTGCTTCAATTTTACTACGACTCTATTGATTATTCCATTGACAAAAGTGATTATCAGTACTGTATGATGGACACTGATTCAGCTTACATTGCTATATCTGATGAATCGTTAGAAGTCATAAAACCAAGCTTAAAAGATGAATTTAAAAAGAATCGGCATCTGTGGTTGGGAAGAGACGATACCATTGAGAATAAGGTGTATGACAGCAGAACACCGGGTCTGTTCAAGTTGGAATATGAAGGAAACTGTATTATATCATTGGCCAGTAAAATGTACTATTGTGATGAAAACAAATTCAGTTCAAAAGGGATTAACAAGAAACAAAATGAAATCACAAAACAAAAGTATGTGGATGCTTTAAAAGGTAATTCTACTCAGAAATTTGTTAACAATGGATTCAGAGTCGAGAATAATCAGATGAACACATATTCATTAACCAAGACAGGAATGAAATTGCTTAATGACAATGGATTCAGAATTGGGTTTCAAATATTTCCAACTGAATTATAAGAAATCATTATCTTGTGTTTATTTAATGGAACAGTTGTATGAACTATACTACAATCCAAATACAGGACTCCTTTCAGCGCAAAAACTTTATCTGAAACTCGACAAACAAGTGCTAATGAAAACAATTCAGGATTTTCTTCAAAAACCAAGAAGCGTACCTTCATTTAAGAGTATCAACGTGTATTCTGTAAATGACCAATGGTAGATTGACTTGATTGACCTGTCAAGGTATGCCAAGTGGAATAGTGGATACAAATATCTTCTTTGTGTGATTGATGTATTCAGTAGAAGGACATTTGTCGTTGCGATGAAGAAGAAATCAGATAGCACCGAAGCGATGAAGAAAGTATTCGATATAGAAACCCCAATTCTTATTCAAAGTGACAGTGGAACAGAATTTTTAAACGGAGCATTTCAGCGATTATTGACATCCAAAGGTGTTCGGCATATCACGGTGGAAGTAGGCGACCACAAGCGACAAGGCATAATTGAACGATTCAATAGAACACTAGAGAACATCATTGCACTTTACCAAGAAGCTCGGCGAACAAATACATATATTGATGTACTGGAAGATATTGTTTACAATTACAATCACACTTATCACCGAGGTATAAATGGTATTCCTCAGCAGTTGTACCTAGGCAATCCATCCACTGGAACAATGAATGTAAAAATAGAGAAGAATGCTATAAGTGTTGGTGACAAAGTTAGATTGCTAAAAACTAGGCAAGCATTTCGTAGAGGATATGAGCCAAAATATAGTCAGTATATATAAGGTCATCAGTGGTAATGGCTATTCGTACTTTATTGCAGATGATGATGGTAATATTCTTCCAAAGGCATACAAATACTATGAACTACAACGTATTGAATCTACCCAACGGTTTCATACAGAATCTAGACAGAGAGAACCACGAATGACAAATAAGGAGCGTCGAAATAAAAGAGAATTGGAAGAATTGGGTAGAATTAGAGGTCCAGCTCATAAAAACGGAGAACATTAAGCGGAACTTATTTTCTAAACCAACTGTATAAATGACATTCATTAGTTTCATTAAAACTCGCCAAGCGTACATTCAATGTATTAAGAATTGGGATTCGTATTCCGTTGACGAACAAGAACAACTAAGGAAATGGTACCGAGATTACTATGCCAAAAACAAACAAGCTGAAAGGAAACGATACCGAGACTATTATGCTGCTAATACCGAGGCAGAGAAGGAGAGAGCTAAAAAGTACAAGAAAACTAAACAATCAGAGGACAATGTTTAGCTCAAAAACACACCCGATAATAATGAGATTTTCATAATAAACACAATAGTTGCAGAGATTTTCTATTTACAAGTTAATACAAAAGATACATTAATGTGGTGGAAATAGGTTTGAATGAATCGTGCTGTCTATCACGAAGATATCAAGGAGTGTACAGCTAGAACTTTTTTCCACTGCGGTGGACATTTTCAGTACTTTGCTCTCCGTGAAAGAAAGTAGCAATGTCAGTTCACCATTGAAAGCATTATCATTATCACTGCAGTCTGAAGGAGTCATTGACTGACGAGGAACTACTTGTTGCGAAGGTTTTCCACCGCAGTGGAATTGTGTTCGTTTAAAACATTCATATCGTCGTCATCCATTTCATCATCAACATTCATCCAGTAGTGTTCAGAGTAGAAATCAGAAGAGTCCAAAGCTTGACACTCTTGAGACATAAACCATTCCTTGATTTTTGGAATCATACTTTTAAACACTCTAAAGGACACTGCCAGCGTTTGGAATTTCGGATACTTTGACATAAAGGCATAGTGCTCCATATAGTAGTAGTAGGATGATTTGGAGATGCCAAGTCTGCTGTTGACATATTCCAAGAAGCGTCCCTTGTGCCCATCCCCAAATGTTTCCAGTAGTTTCATCAAGGACCTTGCTATCAGCATTACTTGTTTTGATGCCAGTACATCGGTCGCTTTGAGTTGCTTCATATTCAATCGGATGTATTTCCACAGCATCCAACCCAGTAAACCTGTATGACGACGACTCATCCAGCACACTGAGAGATTGATGTCGTAGTGTAGCATTTCAATAAGAATGATTTAGCCTTTTCAGTGTCTGTTTTGGTAGTTTCTGGTGTTCTCATTGAACTGGTCCATTTCCTTCAATATAACCAGACAAACTGGACGTCAATTTGAGTGATGATTGTCCAAGGTTATATTAGGTGCTTCTTGACCCAATCAGTAAAACGGCTGTAATCACACATTTGACTCATTTGAAGTGCAGTTGTCATTTTTATACTCGGACACCACTGAAATGTTTTAAAATGTGAACTTTTTTGAATATGAATTAGTCTCAATTCCAATAATACGTCATTCCAAGCAGCCCATTTAACGCCCCTGACCTTGGAATTTTTTTTCTTTCCTTTAAAAAAAACAACAATGTTGAGAATAGTTCGTCACAGCAGCACCCTGGCCAAACTATGGGTGAAGCATAATGGCAGTCAAGCCACTCGTGTCTACTGCTGGCTGCAACAATATCAGTGACCTTGCAGAAGCTATTAAGCAGGAACTCCCAAACCAATTCTCTGCCGTTGACTCCAACCAAATCTTTATCCATCAGTCACTCCAGGATGCTCCACTTGAACCTGATCTTCCACTTGCGAGTATTTCCACTGCTGGTCTGTCCGCCAAATTACCTCTGATTGTCAAGACTCTGGGATCCTCTGCGCCGGCTCAGAAGACCATCTTCATTCAGGATATTGATGAAGAGTGCTGTCCTTTGGATAGCTTTTCCAAATATCTTGTTGAATCAAATGATGATTTGAAACAGATCCTCGAAGGAAAAGGCTCAGCCCTCTACCAGCTGTTCAATCCCAAGGACAAGATTATCAAGTTCAAGCAGTTGATCAATGGAGAAAAGTACAATGTATATTCTCGCTACGAACGGTCGTTTGCTGACGAAGTACGTTGGCAGCAGAATGAAGATCAAGTTATGGAGGAGGAAACTCACTTGGCCGTGAGGCGATTCTTTGCTACCCATCTTGGTCCTTCAATCGAGGTAATGCCAACGGACATTATGGCTGCAGACGGAAAAACCATTGTCCAGGAGTGGAATGCTGTCTTTAAAGATGGCGATGTCCTGTACTTATGCGAAGCCAAGCATAATATGACCGATAAGCAAGTGAACAAGCTCTTTGCAAGGATTCGCAAGTTCAAGGAGTTTCAAGCCAATGCCCAGCCAGAATTTCGAAATGTCACAAAGTATGTTGGGGTGTTGTGTGGTACGTTGTTTCCAGAGGATATTAGAAAGATCGCACACCTTGGATTCATTTGCGTTTATCCATCAGGATATTGTTACGATGTCAAAAAGCCAGAGGATTTCATCATTGAACGTTAATTGTTGTTTGATAATAAAAATAGTTTTACCAAATTTTGAAAATAACAACTGAGTAGTCTTGCATAGAAACAAATATAACAAATTTCAGGTAATTAGATTCTGCTCAGATTCCAAGTCAAATTCAGATTCTAATTAGAAACTAAATGCGTTGAATGTCGGAAAGAATTATTTATGACGAAAGTTTGATATGAAATTATTATACTATTAACTTTTGACCATTTCAGCAGAGAATCTCGCCTAAAAACTGGTATCATCGGATGCCCTATATACTACTGACATGGCTCTTATCGATGGGGTTAAACCTGTTTTGATGGAACTGGAATTGATTGAACCATCACTATATCTATCGTATGATGATACTGCCCTCGATAAATTTGCCAATGCAGTATTTGCTTTTTTGGAAAAGCAATAATTGCTCTATACTGATTTTTTGATAAAGATGGAGTTTGGTTTTAATGCACAAATGATCTGGGTTGGTTCTAGGCTGGTTTATCCTGTTTCGATACTATCAAGTGCTCACCAATGCAGCTAATTCTTTGTACGAATAAAATCAAATATGTTCAACTTTACTTTTACAGTTGTATTTTCAATTAAACTCCACTCTATTGTATCCTAAACTATCAGATATTTTTCCGTTCTAGTTCAAGAGAACAAGATCGCAGGTTTCGAAAATATACTTGTTTTTATTTCAATCACCAGGATACCAGTCAACTTTGTCAGTTCAAATGACCCAATGTTGTCCAGTAAACTGGCACAACCATTTCATAAAGTTGGTTTTGTATCATGTATTTTGACATCCTTATTTAATGTTCCATTTTACGTGAATATGTCGGTGATTTAAATCCTATCAACTTGTCCAAACATTGTTTTGCAAACCCTGACAGTATTTCATAGACTACAAAGTTGCATTCACTATAATACGCTAAACCATGAATAACTTGCCAGAACGGGAGTTTTACACCATTGTTGCTGGTGGTGTAGCTCTTGCTGCTAATGCCGGTTTCATCAATGTCGTCTCTATGGCAGGTTATTTCCAGGCAAGTGCCATGAACCGTGTATCTTGTCGCGCCATCTTCAGTTTGACTTGAATACATGATTGAAGTCTATCCTATCCTTGCATGTATTTCAATTCATAGTGCACAACACAATATATAGTGTTTATTTACCACTTGAATACATATTTCTTTGACCATTTTGCATATCAAATGCTCCAAACTCGCGTTAGTCTGACTCAAACTATTGATTGCTACAACACGCTTCTTGTATTCTAATGATTTGTTTTCATAATGCTATGGATTGTGTTATTGCAAAACACAATATTTTTCTGATACCACAAACCAATTGGTGGCTGCTCACTAAAACCTGTTTACATTGACACAATTATCAACTGAACCTATAGGTGTGACGGTCTCTCATGTCACTGGATCGGTTTCTCGGGTTGCTATATCGGCTGTTCAGCAAGACTGGGAAACATTTCTTTTGGTCGTATCTATTATTGTATCATTTACATTTGGATCGTTTATGGCTGGATTTATAGTGGGTGACAACCGATTCAAACTTGGTGCCAATTACGGAATAACACTGTGTATAGAATCTGCTGCGTTGTTTACATCGTTTATGTTTTTGCGTCGAGAGTTGGTATTGGGCGAATGAGCTGCAGCATTTGCTTGCGGATTACAAAACGCAATGGCGACTTCTTACTCTGGGTTGGCTGTTCGCACAACACACATGACAGGAATCGCTACAGATGTAGGAAATATCTTGGGTCAAGCGTGTCGATCCGATACCAAGGCCGAGTTATGGCGTCTCAAGGTTCATGTTCCTATTCTTTTTGGGTTTATTGCAGGTGGCATGTGTGGTCAAATCGCATGGCTTTCTATTCACGAATATGCTCTCCTTGTCCCGTGTATATTCACTGGTGGTGTTGCCGCTTTGTATCTCACTTTACCGTTTATCAAAGATGCGGCAGAACAAATTAAACACGCTCTTCCTCATGAACTCCATTTTATGGACAACTATGAAGGAGATCCTCGGAAATATCAAGAGTATCATAAGGAGCAGTTGCTGAAGCAAGTAGATCACTATGCAAAAATTACTGGCAAGAATGTCGATGATGAAATTCGAAGGTTTTTGAATGATATGGTTGGAGACGATGAAATTGAAATGGGAGTATTGAATAGCGTATCCATCAGCAGTACTGGCAAAAGAGATAGTGGATCATCTAGACTGCTCAGTTCAAGACGTGGACAATCTGCATATGGAGCAACAGATGAAGATGACGACTTACCTAAACAAATAAATATTTAAATTATAATCACATGGATCGAGTTTGATTATCAATCGATTGGTTGGGCATTTCAAGTGATTAAATGGTTTATACAGTCGTATTCACGCAAAATGGATCACCCAATACGAGTGTCAATATATAATAAACTGCCAATCTCATATGATGATTTACATTGCATTTACTGTACAACATTTTCATTGAGCTTTTTTACAAGTCTCCTAGTGATTGGCATGCAGAGTTGCATTCTCAAGACATGCAATTCTTGGTTTCTTGAACTAGAACGTAAACGTATCTGATTTTAGCATACAAATGTTTGTACAGTTTGATTGCCATCAAAACAGTTTAATCTATGCATTGCAGTACATCAATCTGGTGATTGTACAACGTATGACTACCAGAAATGAACAACTATTTCAGTTCAAAACTATCGTTTGTATGATATGATGGATGTTGCATCAGTCAAAAATGTCCATCAAGTCAATCTTCAATATGAGAGTGTAACAAGTATTCAACCAGTGTTTACTACAAACTAAAACAGTCACATTCATGTGGAATACCAATACAAAACCATTCCATTTACATCATTATGGTGTAATTAAACAATGATCATTTGATCTGTAGTCAGAATCCAAGTGCATGTTACAACACTGCACCAACCAACTGTTTGAAACATACAGTATTCTAGCAGTATTCTACAAATTGTTGCTACTACATGATGATGCAGTTTACGTTGATTTGTGTAAATCAAATCAAGCTTATAGTTTAATTAGAGTTTAATGACATGCTCGTAATTGAATTAAACTATTCTGCGTGTCATGATTCGCATTAATATTGTATTGATGTGCAAGTATAAAAACATCTGATTTGGTGTATAACATGCTCGTTAATTTGTCTATTATGAAGTTTACTATTATTTCGACTGTGATTATCACTGCTTCTGCAGTCATTGCTGTTCCTGCCATCAATGACAGACTCCAGTTTAATGCACCATCTATCAACCAAAATCAAAACACTGGTCTCGATGCTGGATCTGGATCTGGTCCTGGATTTGGTCCTGACCTGTCATCTGAGTCTGGTCTTGGATCTGAGTCTGGACCTGCCATTCAGGATGCAGCCAAAATCCCGATTTTTTCAGCTCCAACGTTTTCAAAACCAGTATTTCCACAAAACACTGCTGATACTCAAAACATTGATATTCCACATCAATCATCCGTCTGTTCAGTTGACGATTACGCAAACACCATCCAGAATTTGCAAAATGTAATCCAACAACAAATGTCAACCATCCGTGACATGCTGGATAGATTGCACGCATCCAGTATTCAACAACCAGCAATGCCTGATTCATCGTTTGGTGCACGTCATGATGCATTGACTCGTTTGCATGATTTGAATGATCGTCTTGGCAACAATATGGTCAGATTCACGACTGCTAGTCCATTGGTTATGAATTCATGGTCTGATGTCAAGAGCGGTATGAAACCATCATGTGCCGGAATCAATGCGGTTTCCACATGTCAAGAAAATGCAATCAAGAGTGATGTGTCGTGTGGTGAAGACAAGTCTGCAGCAGTAGATCGAGCCAATGCAGTGCGTGGATTCATACGTGGCATTGCATTGCAAAAACTTGCATTGTTGGACTGTGCAGCATCTAATCTTGAACAGCAATATCAAGGTAACCAAAAAACGCAGCTACTGCAGCAACTTGATCGTGTTCGTGAAGCCACGGCAAAACTTGAATTGCAGTTCAAATCGCTATCATGTCGTGCCAAGCAACTAGGCAGCTGTGATGCCAAGATTGGTGAGTGTAAAGGTGTTCGAGATAATACACGCTTGGAACGACGATGGATCAACCCCGCCATGTTTCCTAATATGAATCCAGCATTTTTTCCAGGAGTTGGTTCTGGTGTAGCTCCATTTGATCAGCCCTGGGTTGGAGTTTATACATTTAATCCCAACTTTTACTATCCAGGGTACTATCCAGAGTACAACACAGGGTACGGCGTATGAGTTGCTGCGGGATATGGTGTAGGCATGTAATAATTGAATCTACCCATTTTTTGTTAGCACACCTAAAAAGCTTATTATATCCAGACCGGGAATTTTCCCATGCTTGATATATTTTTGCAATTCTGTTCACACTTTGACACAATAAACTCAACTTGCATGTATGTGAATTTGTAATATTGATTTGAAGGGTGTTTAAACTATTTTATTATTTGTTGGAATGTATTGTAAAGCTGTATTTGATTCGAATGTGGGAATAAAACCTTGCAGTTGAGGAATATAAAAGCCAATACACTATCTTTATTGATCAACCAATCTTGGCTATTTATAAAATGTATCTGTTTACTATTATAACTGCAGTGATGGTGCAGATCGCAGCAGCCATCCATCTA